AAAGGCGCGACCCATCGATAGCAGACAAAGGAAAATTGAAGGTCTTACCTCCACAAGACAACTCCAACCTGCAATTGAGGGGAAAACTCGAATCGCCGGCCAGACGCCAACGAAGAGGGTAGCCACCACCAACCGGTGCTCCGTCTCACTACGTAGTCCAATATATGGCACAATTTATATAATATAATTTATATCTGCCAACGTACCATCTGGAACATCATAATAATTTCATGTCACAATTTATGTAATATAATTTATATTAAAACTTTAATTAACGTTCAGCTGTATTAAAAAAATTATGTCACCTTGTGGTGCCTATTGTGACGGTTGAGAAGAATCGCTTGTCGGTCCACGTGAAGAAGTTCTTGTACGACCCACCGGACGACCTCGCGAATTATCCTTGTACTCCCAGCGCGATGGTTTACGCTTAGTTAAAACGGTTTTCTTGGGACGACCTCGCGTATTTTCCTTAACCTCAGGTTCTGCATAAGCTTGTTGGTTCGGGTAAAGCTGACCGTACATGAGCTAATTCATGTACCGCATCGTTGCAGGATCGCCCGTTTCAACCTCTTTGACAAGCGTTTGAAATACATCAACATCTGTCCATGCACTCTGGTTATCCTGCCTATGGTGATCTGTCCCTACAAGTATACGATAAAAAATTCAAAGAATTAAAAAACGTAATGTACTTTAGTTTGTATTTAAATGAATCAGAAAGTAGAAAATTGCAAATGAAACATTAACCTTAAATTACCTGGCTTTAGCATCTCTAGTGTCCTCCAGAACTCGTGGATAATTTCCAATTCAATCGAAAGGTCAGAATCATTTGTCGTACGAAACAGACAGACACAAGGAATTCCATGAGTGGTACGCAATACACAGCCGCAGCGCTCGTAAACTTCATAGCTCAAGTCTCGCATCCTCGTCAGCTCATAGTTCAATAAACTCAGACAGTAATGCGAGACCCTCAATGTCAAGCAAACAAAAGGGAATCCCGTATACGCCGTACTCCTCCTAAGTCTTGAAGACTCAAGCATTGTCCTGGTAATACATTACAAAACATTATATTATAATTAATGCAATAATAACATTATTGTACATTTATCAATTTATTTATATATAAAAAAAATATATTTAGTACTTATTTTTTTATTTAATTTTTCATAAAATTGTTTGTATTGATAAATAATATAAAATATTAAATATAATATGTTTTTATATATTATATTGCGGTGGCCTTTTTTATTTATTTATCTTTATTTTTTTAAATAAAAACCGAAAGTGAAACGAAATAACCAGAATTCTAATATATGTGAATCGAAATAACACAATTAAAAATGAGGAATGTACCTGATTTCAGTCATCTAGGACTCGATCTCCTTATCAATTTTTTGTCACACTGTATCCCACACTGTATCGAGCGTGTCGGTCGACGTGTGAAGCCACTGCTTCAACACATAGTGGGCACTCTCCACCCTACATGAAGTTGTGTTGCCAGAATGTGTTACCCGGTTAGTCCAATCTTTCACGAACTTCTCCTTGTGGACTAACCATGTCTGCTCGACATATTCTACCACTGGTGAGGCATTCCCGTATTTTGCATGCAATTGAGCTATGACAGCGTTGTACTCATCCAACGTACTGGCATCGACAATCGCCTTCCACCTACCGCGCAAGAACATTTGGGATAAATTTTTATTTTTTCCAAGCAGCTTGTAGACTCTATCCTCCACATCCTTGTTGATATGCCACGTGCAGAGTAAGTGCACAGATTCGGGAAAGTTCCTCCTAATAGGAGTCATTAAGTCCAACTCTCTGTCAGTGTCAAACTCATTAGGATGTACCTGAAAGCCTATCAGAAGTCTCAACTTATGGAGAACCCAATCATAACTGGCCTCTTTCTTGCCCTTCATGAGTGTATACGCAATAAAGAAGTTACTGTTGCACGACGTCATCCCAATCATCTCGACCAACGACATCTTGTACTTGTGCAAATGAGACCACAAGACAAAAAATATAATCACATAAAACTTAATCGAACATACTAATTAAAATTTATACTAATAACATATTTATAAATTAACATACATGTTGGTTTTGTAGGTGGAATCTATGCCGACATACCAGTAATATGTCTGGAATAGACTAACTAAATCAGAATAGGCCATGAATATGTGTGTCAGCGCATTCGTGTCCAGATCGACATTTATATAAACTATATAGCTGCTGCTCGTAGTCAAATGTAGAAGCTGGGTAGTAACGTCTCTGCCCACGAAACTTTCCCTACGCAACTTTTCTCTATAGTTATATATATGTCGTCGATTAGCGTGGTCTCCCAGATTTTTTTCCTTGACAGCGACCAAAATATGTTCTGGTTTCGTCTGCGCAACAGTCATATCACGAATAATCTTTTTTGTTGACTGGATGATGCCGCTCACCTGTCGATGACCCTCAGGATACACAACAAATGAATGATTATGGAATCCCTTCTTTTCGTCTTGACTCGTGTGGATCATCCAGGACGTCGTTTCTGCCACCTGTTTTACTTTTATCTCAAATTGACACCCGCACGCTTTCTTTTTTGTACGTCTAGAAACAACTTTATTTATATATACGTTTTTGCCTTTATAATGTTCGCCTCGTTTGCACTTCAAGATCTTCACCCTTCCTCCTTTTGTGTGTTTCGAAATAATCAAATCGAAACCATTCAAAAGTGTTGTACTTTTTGCATCATTAATAGCATCCTCATCACTATAAAACCATTTTTTTGTATCGAATACGAAACTGTAATCAATACCATCTCCTCCAAAATTTTCCAATGACACCTGCAATATATTACAATATTTATAATTTAAACCTGTTAAGTTATAATGTATAACATAATAATTTCTAAATTCTAACGCGATAATATTTAACGTCTAATTATTTTGAATATATAACATAATAATTTCTAACTTTTAAAATGATAATATCTAACGTCCAACTTATAACATTATTATTTCGAACCTACAACATAATAATTTCTAATTCCTAACACGATAATATCTAACGTCCAATTTATAACATAATTATTCAAATCTACAACATAATAAGTTATAATTCCTAACGCGATAATATCTAATGTCCAATTTATAACATAATTATTTCAAATCTACAAAATAATATTTTATAATTCCTAACGCGATAGTATCTAACTTCCAATTTATAACATAATTATTTCGAATCTATAACATAATAATAATAATTTTTAACTCATAACAAGATAATATATAACGTACAATTTATAACACAATTATGTTGAATCTATAACATAACAATTTCTACTAATATTATTTAAAAAAAAAAAAATAAAATAAAATTGGCTACGTCCCGTCTGTCGGACCGGTCATGTCCAGCCGTCGCCTCAGAACATGCATTGGGTCGTACGGCCGGCCGATTCAGACTTTGACCGGTCCGTACGACCCATAAATGCGTACGCCCCGTGAAGTGTCCGACCGGACCGGCCGAACACCATTTGGGCCGTCCGGTTTCGTCCGTCCGACGGCGGAAAAAAATTACCTCGGAGCTGGAAGACATTTCGCTCTTCTGAAATTTTTGGAAAAATGAAAAGGGCAAAATCGTTTAAGGGGGAGGTAACTAGTAATAGGGGGCGGTGAATAGTACGATTTTGCTATGAAGCTAACTGTTGGCTCTATAATGGAGCCAACCTTCTATATACAACAAATAAACATACAATATTCTCTGATTACTTAAATAATACTAATATAATTTTATTAACATGGTAAATTTATTTTTTTGTATATAGAAGGTTGGCTCCACTATAGAGCCAATTTTTGACTTGATAGCAAAACCGGTGAATAGTAATGCTCTTTAAGATTCTGGATGCTTCTCATAAATCCCATCTCTAAAGTCGTAAATGCCCCTGCGTCTGCTCCAAATTCACGTTGTCTAATCACTAATGCGCTGTATCCATTCGTATGTGCAGGGGTAACTATGTCCAAATTCACAAGAACTCTTTTCTTTCTCCCCAAGCCCCAAACCCCCTCCTAAAACCCTCTCTTCCTCATTTCTCCACCGCCACCCACTCCTATCGCCGCCGCGATTTTATCGGTTTTTTTCCCCCTTTTTAAATTCTATTTGGGAACTTTCGCCTCGGGCATCCGCAACCATGTCCCTGAGCAAAATAACAAGTCGGGTCTCGAGGACCGTGCTGACTCAGTGCCGCAACTCAGCGCTCCTCCTCGGCCGCCATGAAAGCTATCTCTTGCAAAATGCATCCAATAGATTATTTTCCTCTCGTGGGCTAAGTGATAAGGTACTGTTTTGGGTGTTGAAGATAGGGTTTTTCAGGGGATTTGGACCTTTTTGGGGAGGGATAATTTTCTATTTTCTTTCATTTCATAGATTGATTTCTCGTTTGACTGATTGATATTGTTTTGGGGACTGATTGGTTTTTGAGGTAGATTGAGGTTCGGCAGTTTAATAATCTTTTATCGAGTGTTTAATCATTTGTAACGAGCGATCTCATTAGTTGTTTTTCTGCATCCTACGTGCTTTCCTTTTTATGGTATATGAGTTTTTCAGAATTTTAAAACTGAAAGGTTCTGACAACTATTTCTATATGTTTTGTGATGAATTTTTAGCTTATTTCAGTAAGGTGACTGAGAACGTTTGCATATTTCTTCAGGCAGACTGTAAAATGTTACTAGGGATGCTTCGTAAATGAACGAATTTGATGATAGTTGCGCATCGTACTTGATTATTCTAACGTCTTAATACCTCATACAGGGGAATTCACTGGGTTCCATTTACCTTCTACGTTTGGGATTCTTATAAGTAGGCATCTAGTTTGCTTACAACCTTACATTGTGATTCTTCTCAATACCTAAATATCTCATTCTATTGAGTAGTGTGTTGAAGGGGAAGCTTGTCTTATTGTGTTATTCCCAAAGTAAACTAAAGAGTATTTTGTATGAAATTCTGCTGCCATTTTGCTGTTCTGAATTAGCTTAGATTGTACGGTTTCTATTGTTTTCATATAATTAACATATTGTTCAGCTTTCTTGTGATCTTTATGCTGTGGCAAAATCTTGGCATAACTTAGAAATCGATGTTATTAAGAAGGTATGCTGTGTTTCCATTTAGGTGGTTCCTGGTCAGGTTTCATTGCTACACCATTCATCACTGAAATCTTCAGGCTTTCAGTGTTTTGGGTTCTCTTCCTCTGCAACTTCGCAGCCTGATGAGAAAGTGACAGCCCAGTCTACAAATGAACAGGAAAATAAGGAGACAGGCAATGAAGCTGCTGCTGATGATACACCTCAAGCTGAAGTGGACGAGTCAGATCCACACATTAGTACGTCCGGGACTCCTAATAGGAAAAGAGGTGCTAAACGAGTTGCGTTTTCTGACTCTGATTCTGACACAGATTTGGAATCTGACCTCTCGAGAGATGACCTGGTGAAGCTCGTGTCCGAGAAGGATCAGCTTTTGGCCGTAAAGCAGGAAGAGCTGAAGCAGGTGAAGGATACAGCCATGCGGGCATTGGCTGAGATGGAAAATACAAAGGAGCGCACTATACGCGAAGCTGACAGTTTCAAGAAGTTTGCTATTCAGGTTTCGTGTTCTTTTTCCCCCCATTTTTTGGTTTTTGTTGTTTAATTACCAAACAGGTTTACAATACTCTATTATAATTTTATTTATTTTTTTTGTAAGAAAGTGACATTTCATTTAAAAAGTTTACTGTGGCTCCTAATATATTCCTTTTTACCAATTGCACCCTCAAGAAGGTGGGTTATGTAAAAATAGATCTCAAGAGGGTGCTTCTCAAATTTCAAGGGGGTATTTGTAACTTTGAGAGATAAGCAGAGTAATAGTAATTGTTGTAACTTTGGGACATTCTTTCACTGTCGTATTTGACATGTGATGCAGAAATTTGCTGAAAGCCTTTTGGATGTAGCGGATAACTTGGGTCGGGCTTCTTCAGCTGCAAAAGAGAGTTTCTCAAAAGTTGATGTGTCTAAGGATGCATCTGGAGCCACTCAACAGCTCAAAACACTCCTCGAAGGTGTTGAAATGACGGAAAAACAACTGAATGAGGTACTATAGTTATGGGTTCCTCCTTGCCCGATCATATTTCTTGTGTCTGCCATTAGTTAAATATTTCATTTGATGTGACTTGAGTAATTTATGGTGCTTGAGTTGATTATCTGGCATGTCTTGCTGCTAAATATGGTATTTGTGACCTTATTTATAAGGAATAGATATTTAGGGGATCGGCATGTAAAGGTAACTTGGTAGTATTAGACTGTTTGTGCACAAGTGATTGGCCTTTGTTCCTGCTCAATAAAGATTTGAAAAAGGTAAACATTTTAATGAATTACTATTCGAATCATGGCAAAAAAATTTGTTGAAATTTCAAATATAGAGTATCAGCAATATAAATGAATAGCTAAAAATATCTGAGGAAAAAGCTTATGAATTTATTTATCATCTCTTGTTGATGATGTTTGTCTAGGTACATGTTGACATAGCCGGAAAGTTCATGCCGTCATCTTATTGACAATGTTTATCTACAAACTTATTAGTAGTATAGCTGGAAAGCTTGTTTCCGATTTCATCTCTAACTATTACTATAGATTGTAAATTAATGCATTTTGTTCTTCCCATATGCAGGTATTTAAAAAGTTTGGGCTAGAGAAATATGATCCCATTGATGAAGAATTCGATCCGAACAGGCATAATGCCGTGTTCCAAGTCCCAGCTGCCTCCAAGCCAGCTGATCGAGTTGCAGTTGTTCTAAAGGTATCTGAAGGAAATACGAAAAAATAAAAACTTTTGAAGAAAGATATATGAATCCGCTTTCAATACTCTTTCTGTAGGAAGTCCAGAAAGGATCATCCGGGACAGGAGCACTATTAATTACATTTTACACTTCCTTGTGCATATTTTTTAGCTTCAGTAAATGAAAATTTTTATATACTTCGTGCTTGGGTCATTTTCAGGCTGGATACATTCTGCACGACCGAGTTATAAGGCCAGCTGAAGTTGGTGTGACGGTGGTGGCAAACAATGAGGATGGTGAAAAGGTGTCTGAGGACTGAGGCAGTATCAACTCTATATACTTGTGTATGGATTTTGGGGGACTAAATGTATCTTATTAAGGTATATTCTTAATTTATGCATGGTTTTCGCTAGGGAGGATTGTAACAGAGAGCAACTTTTTGCCTTTTTTTTTTTTGTTTTTTTTTTTTCTGGGTTTGATCTGTTTATTGTTCCCTTTCAATGGATCTTCGCAGAAATATTCATTCAACTGAAAATTTTGTGGATGTTCAACGTTAATTTGATTTTTGTTGCTGGCCCCTTGAAGTAAGTCTATTGAATTATTAATAAAAAGGTTTTGACGTTGTAAGTGCCAACATAAGAGCACCCACAATGCTTTGGTATCTTAGAAAAAAATTACATGTCATGTAGGAAATAGACTTAGTCTATAAAAAAGTGTTTCCCAATGCAATTAAAAGTGGACCTAATCTAACTTATGTGGCAATAAAAAAAAGAGATCTAGTCGTCTATTTTAGGGGGTGTGTACAATTTTAACTTTTAGAGACTTTTTAAGACTTTTAGAATTCTGGTGTATTTAATTAGAACTTTTAGAGACTTCTGAAAAGTTTACATGTATATTCAATTAGAACTTTTAGAGACTTCTGAAAATTTTACATGTATTCAATTGAGACTTTTAAAGATTTTTAATTAGTCTCTAAAAGTCTCAGGGTATTCAATTAAAATATTCTGAGAGTCTCTATAAGTCACCAGGTATTCAAAACAGAAAGACTTTATGAGATGTTTTAAATTGTAAGACTTTTAGAGACTTTTGTAACAAAATTACAAAGGAAAAATCTCAACAGAAATTTCATCAATATTGGTGAGATTTTGCTGGACTTATGTGACTTTTTCACACTCTTTCTTTTTTTCTTTCTTTCTACCATGACTTTGTATCTCATACATTTCATGCTCTATTATTTTACTTATTTATTTTGATACCTTGTGTAATTTTTATTTTCAATACATATATTAATGTGATCTTTTTATTTTATATATTCTTTATTATGCTTATTTATGTGTGTATACCTTTATTCTCTCATTTTGTTATCTTGTAAATTTGACTTTTTCAAAGGTTAAATGCTTCCATAGTAGCATTTGCAAATAATTTATTTGTTCTCTCTTTTTATTTGTAAATGTTTATTTCAAAATATTAACAAATTATTTTATTTACAAATAGTTTTTTTGTTAATATTGAAATATTTTGAATATTATTGATAACTTTATAAGATACAATTGCTGTTTTTTGGCAATATTTGTATCTTGTAAAAATATATCATAATAATATTTTTCTAATATAACAACATTATGCAAAAAAATATAAAAAATAAAATCAATCAATAATTAGCTAAATATATCTTAATTTGGGTGATTATAAGTGTCGTTGTAGCAGATATGCCTAACACATATTTGAGCTTGTGATCTTTTAACAAACAAATATAAGGCCCTGCTCGAGTTCGACTCGTTGAAGTTCAGATCGATTTACTCGTTTAATAAATCTACAATCCCAAACAGTTTATTGGTGAATAACTCATTTCGCATAAAAATGAGTTTATTCATAAATTTTTAGAGGAATAATATATACAACAACTTTTTCTCATTTATTCTTTTTTATATTAGTTATTATGTTACGTTTATTAATATTTTATTCAAACATAATATTATAACTACAAGTATATAAAAGTCTCAATAAGTTTTAAAAAGTACATTATGAAAGTCTTAAAAAGTCACTAATGAAAATTCTCTGAAAGTCTCAAAAAGTCCACCAAAGTCATGAAAGTTCTACAAAGTCCACAAAAGTCAACAAATTTAAAAAGTTTTAAAAAGTCTTTAAAAATCTCAATTGAATATAGGCTCCTTAGACCCAAGTACAAACTCAAACACCCATCATTTATTTCTCATTTAATTTTTCTTTTAATAAATGAAATATATTAGAGCATTTTTATTGGTTATCATGTATGCTAGACCTAGTATTTTATTTTTGCATTGAATAGCTTTTGAGTTTTTTTACTTGAGTTTGTCCATGTCATTTAGGACTTAAGTCTATTTATATGTCACATATGTAAAATTAAACCAAAGCATTGTGGGTTCTCTAAATAGCGTGGTGTGGGTTGTGTTACGTTCATTTAATGGCTGTTAAAAAGGAATGTTCTTTCAATAGTCATTTTTATTTGAAAAACTCATTCACGTAGCCAAAAGAATATTTTCGAAATATTTTCTTTTATATCGACTTTATAGTTTTTTCAATAAGATTTATATATTTTTTAACTTACAAATTAAACCACAAATTTTATTTTAAATTTGATTTAGAATTTACGTTATAAAAGTAATTATGAAGTCATTATTCATTTACACTAGTATTCAACTCGTGCATTTGCACGAAAGCGAATTATCAGAATGACTAAGTAAAATAAATATATAAACAAAAGAAAAAATATCAAGTTTTAATCAACGAAATATTTACAATTGAAAAGAATTCTAAATATTATTAAAAATGATTTATATACAACATTTATTTTTTTCCTATCATCAGAATTCCTTTCGCCACAAATCATTATTTTCAAACCCTTCCGATTCGTGACTCTCAAAAGAGCAATGTACAATTGGTCGTGACTGAAGACGGGATTCTTGAGTATTAAGCCGATGTGCGATAGAGACTGTTATTGACTCTTAATGATTGTAATATAATAGAAAAACATAATAGTAAACTGACTATGCTAAAACTTGAATGATATCCGCTCGGAGGGTATGATAGTGAGCCTCATAATAAGAACCTTATCATCAGTTTTAGCACCAGTTAAAATTCTGCATTAATGGACATGATTGCTGAGTTTGGTAGAACTAAACGTGTACCGTTGCACAACCCCATGGAGTGGTCAATGTTTCTCATCAACATCGCTGGAGTAACGACCTTCAAGTGCAATTTATGATTCGGTAGTCTCGAGCACTTAATTCCATTCAAAAGTTCATGAGTATGCAGATCTTGAAGAGAGTCATATCTAGCATCCGACTTGCAAGCGGTTTCTGAGCTGAGATAAGTCCTTCACTCGGAAGAGTTCAATGAGCTCATGTACTCGTTAATGGACTTAACAACATAAACCGTGGGAGCAAGTATCGCTCTATCGTTCAGATAACTAAGGTCGTCACATGAACTCCTCAATATCGGGTTGGTAGTCTCAACAATAGTAGCAGTAGGATCTCCTTGAGATTTCAAAATAATATCATAAGGGATGTCGATATTGGCACAACCGTCGTACGATCCACCGACTATATCATCGCCAATGCTAGCAAGCCACTCTAAGAATCGCTTCAGCTCACCATACTCATCACCGCCACCAAGGCTTTGAAGCCTCATATTCCTAGTCAGTCTGATAACGGTACAATATCGACACAACTTGAATGAATTAATAGTGGAATTCACGATGTCGTAGACTGCCTTTAAGGACAACGGGAAGTATCTGTCTAATTTCTCTACTAAAAGCAACATATTTGCCTTTAAATGGGCTTTATTTCTCGATGGATCCACTAACTCCATTAAAGATCGTAAGGTAGTGACAACCGCCTGGAAGCAATACTTATTCATCATCGGTGTTTCATGCTAAATGATCAACTGACACTGTATAATCGATTCCCGCCAAAGGACTTTGCTGGCTAATGTCACACGAAGAAGCTTTTGTTGGGTTTAGGGGAATTCTGAATGGAGAATGTGCAATGCATCCGCAGGGAAGCAAAAGTGAAGCAATACCGCTCGATGCAACATTCAACAATACTATTTTTCCCCTAGACCTCAAAGCAGAAGACAATGCCCCCCAGACATAAGTTTTACCGGTGTCTTCATAACCATAAACGAAAAACATGCTGCTGTGGTTACTAAAACATAATAAAAAGAACAATATGCAATAAATAATTTGTATACAAATATAATGGTAGTTAATATAAAATACTCACGTTAAGCTGCCCAAACATCTTGTAATGCAGAACATCCCTCACCAGTGCATCAAACTTCGCATTAATGACTGAAAATATTATACAGGACAATCCTCAATGTTGAGGCTCCTCTCAGAAAGGAATCGACTTGGGGATCGACTCCTTGTGCGCGGTAGTTGAGGGTATTAGGTACCTGGGAGCGACTGTCAAATTATCATTAAACAATCATCATGAATTTTTCATAAGCAATCAAATTAAAAGATCAGATTTATTTCTTTTATACATATTATATATGGTAAATTTAAAAAGAAAAGAATTAATTATATTTGATTACATCATTAAAACTGAATCATTTTTTGTAATATGCCTATATTGTGCATGAATCGTGGTGAGTATTTATTTGTATTAAGTTTTGGATGTATAATTAATTAAATTTTGTAACCATTATGTTAAATTTTGTAGTAATTATGTATGGTAGCAGATTTATATGTGATAGTCCCGCTCACCTGCTCACGGTGGGCAGTGCCGACCACTTTATTTTACATGAAAAACGTATTCTGAGAATGCGTTCTTCAATTAATTTAATTGAAAAACGTATTCTCAGAATACGTTTTTCATATAAAACAAAGTGGTGGGCACTATCCACCGTGGGCAGGGGATCAAAATTTTTATATGTGAACAAATTGTCTTTTGTATCAGATTTCTTTGTTCTAGCAAATACACAACATGATTGATGTATCGATTAATCAGTTATTCATTTTAAGTTTAAAAAGAAAATTCAAATCAATCTATTTAATAAAATTATTAAAAACTGACCCGTTTTAAAAATATGTGGCTACAATCCTTTCATTCTGTTGGGGAATATATCTTGTGCGTGAATAATGGTTCCAGTATTTAAAGTTAATTTGCATGGACAAATATATTTAACTAAATAAAAAAAAAACTTATCAACATTTAATTTAATTAATTTTAGTTAAAGTATATATAATCTATTATTTTTATTTAAATGTCATGATATGGATGTGATGGGTTGGTATGAAATAGTGTTTCCAATTATACTTTTATTTAAATTTTTTAG